TATTGTCAATACCATGACTTTTAGATTAGTATGTTTGTGTTCATTCATGATTGTTAAATCATCTACTCTTAGTGTGTGTGTATGTACATGTACTTGTATGGTACATTAGCAATGCTGGTCCTTGCAAGCCATTGCATGGTATGCTTTTTACCTGTTTTTCTTTCTTGTTCTGTCTTGCTTTGATCACATTTTTCCTTCTTTCTCCCTCTTTCTCCTCTCTTTCTGTCTCTGTCTCTCTCCCTCCTCCCTCTCTCTCTCTTTCTCCCCCTCCCTCCCTCTCCCCCCTCTCTCTCAGACTATCCAAGATGACTATGAGAAGTTACTAACTCATGATATTAATGTCCAGTTCCTTCAAGTACTGGCCCCAGGTGTTGTTCATCCTAATTGCTCCTCTAACAAGACTGGTAGTGCCACTAATGTGTATCCTTCAGCTGGTACTCCTTCTGGTGACAAAATCACTTGCCGATGGGGTGGGCATTAATAAGAGTTTCAAAATGGATTTGGGACTTGTCTGGTAGACGGTGGATTCACTGCATCACTTCTTATATCCAGGTACTTGAAAAATAATGGCTCTCAATGATTAATGATTCTTTTATATCCATGCAATAAATGTACATGTACATTTATAAACATTATTACAACAATACATATGCATGTACATGTACTGTAATTTTTGTCTTTTAAATTCTTTTCTTTGGTTTTTATTTCTCCCTCTCTCCTCTCAAGATGGTTGTCAGTTGTATGCTCCTGAGAGGGAGCCAGCCTGTGTTCCTCTTGTCCTTACTAATATCCTTAAATTTAAGGATATTAGTAATTGGTACTTGTACTTATGCAATGGCTATCAAGTTCACACGTCCATTCTTCATTGAAAAGGTACCAATACATGCATGTACATGAATTAATTACATGTACATGTACATATGACAATAATAATACAATGTAACTTGATGGATAATGATGCATGTATACATGTACATTTAAATGCCTAGAAAGTACAGAAGTAAATTAAAGGTGGGTTTAAAATATTACAATAGTCTTGATGCTGTAATAGAATTTTGTTCTAGCCTAGTGGAAAGCATTCATCAAAAGGTCAAGTGTCCCAAAAATTGTTAAAAATTGAAGGTACATATGCTGGCCTAATGCTATCATATTGTAAGGCTGCCTTAATAGTTTACTTAGCAACACAGCATGTATGCATAAAAACTGGAGGTATAAGTTTATCCATGAAGTTAGATATGATGCCTGTAAATGTGAATGACTGTCAGTAAAGTATAAAGTAGAAAAGAACTAGACAATAATTACAATGTTTACTTAGCAACACTGCAGTTTGCATGTACATGTATGCATTACAACTGGAGGTTAATGAGATTACACATGTATAAGTTTATGCACGAGGCTAAAGGTACAGTACATGTGATTTATCAACTGCAGACTCATCATAATCTCCTCACAATGTAACTTTCTATACATGACCTTTCCAGTAAGGAAAGAATCTGAAATCAAGCAACCTGATTTGTCAATCACAACTACATGTACATGTATATCTACATGTATATAGGCATGATAGGACATTTTTTCATTTTAGCTATTGTGTGTTTTTTTATTATTGTAGCCCAGTGATGTTAGGTGTGGTCATTATAATCTCCTCCCCTGGACAGGCTGTATGAGTAGTCTATCAGGTATGGACACATGTACATGTACATTAATTCCAGTACATGTATCTTCTCCAGACATGGGGCGAAGTACATTGGTACTTGTACTTAAGTATTCATTTGTATTTTGGCATGTAC